TTCCAGACAAAATATTACCTCTATTTTTGGTTATTTATTAAATTGTCCAAGCTCAGTCTGCATCTTTTATAAAAATAGTTTAATAAGCTTAATTTTAATTACCCATTAAATATTCACCCAAGTCCTTTCCTGAAGCACAGAAGATCATCATCAAAGCATGTCATGTTGTAATATCAGGAAGACCAGGTATAATCTTTGGGTACAATATATTAAACAATGAACCAGTTTCTCTCCAGTGCCTTAGTCACTTCCTAGTAATAGGTAAAAGAATGCATTAACTCCCTCAGGCCACTAGGGAATCCTTTAGTGCATCAGAGCTCTACATTGTACATCAGAATGACTAAGGCACTGTGAAAAAGAAAGTCCATTAATTTTTGTAGCTCACCCTCATCTAGCTGTAACTCTTTAATACCTTAATACAGAATGACTTTTGGACTTGAATTTTGAATAGAATCAGGAGCTCAGAGGGGAGCTTCCTCATTTCTAATGAGCTTTACTAAGTGCATGGATATTACTTTCTTCACCCATTTGGTGCACTTTTTACAGTGAATAATTTCCCATTTTATTAAAGCAATAAGATGTTCTGTTGTGAGCAGTGCTGGATGATGATTCCATTTCCTTGGTGCTGAAGCTACCCATACATTCTTGCCTTATGAATCATAGTGCATTCAAGGCATGCAATAATAATCCCCTTCCAAGGAGCAGCCTGTACACTCTGGGGGTAGAGAATGGGGGTAATTATGAAATTGTCCTACATCATTTTCCCAAAAGAATAGTAGTAGCAAGAGAAATAAAAGAATTATGTATACCATTTAAAAAAGAGAGATCTTGATACCTCTAAACATGGGCACACATCTATAATATGCTTTTATTGCACCTTTAAATGTGTATGTCTTTTTCCATTAATTGACTATAGTTTAATATTTTTAATAGTTCTCTGTGTAAAGATGATGCAGTTTGTGAGTCAAATTTTGTACTGAGTTTAAAATACTCAGAATCTTAAGCTTCTGGTGGTGTCACTTGAGATTTTTTATGAGATAAAAACAGAATTACATGAAATTCTAGTAAGCCAGTTCCCATATCAAATTATTGCAATAAGCACATATACAAGCAATTTGTACAGACCCTGTTCAAAGCACTGCTCCTTACAGAGCTCAATTGACAGTCTCTGGAGTTTGGGATGCTACCAACAGGGCATTTTGGTTTTCATTTATATGGGAACAAAAGGTCAGTCTGGATATAGATAAATTTATTTTAAAGATTTTAGTCACTGATGTCCCGTCAAACTAATTGCTACAAATCCCTATAGCTATAGCTCAACTTCTGCACTTACTATTCAGTATCAATAAGGTGGCATGCTTGATTCTTATTGTTTTTAAAAATGAGAAAATTGGAGAGAGAATGCCATTATGTCAACTGTATGGGACTCTGAATCTTAAAGATGTAAATGGATATAATCTTTAGAATTTATATACACCCATAGATACGTATTTCTATATGCATACATTTTGTACAAATTTACAATGGACTTTTTGTATTCTCTTTTCTGTCATTACAAGAATGAGATGGAAACCAAATAGTTGTTCCATCCTCTTATCCAGAGAGGATACTGAGAAGTCAGGTATATGCATGCACTTATTTTTCTGGGGTCAATTTTGAATGACTTTCTCTTAATTTAATGAAAGGGGAGAGTCCTGATTGGCTCAAAAAATTGGTAATTAGATAAGCTTCCTTTCCAAGGGTAGTGACTCAACTGTAGTAATGCTGATGAAGTTATGGCCATATCGATGTGGTCCAAATATTAGATGGAAAGCAAAAATATTCACAAGAGTCTTAGGACCATCTAGACCACAAACCTGAATTGTGCTTCAATTTTGCATTTTCAATCTGTATGTTTTGTGGAGATACAACTTATATCTGCATAGCTAAAAGGAAAATGAAAATATGACCACTATCTGTTTAGTTTGATAAGTAGTTTTTGTAAAATATGGATAAATTAGCTTTAAATTTTTGGGCATCTGATTTTCCCACCATTTCTATCTGAATTAATTGAGTTGATTAGATAATGGTTAAAACGTTAATTTTTTCCATTGTGCAGACATATGCTTTAAATGCTTTTCTGTGAGTAGCAGTTGACATTTGCTAACTGATATTATGTCCAGAAACTTTAAATCTAATCTGGGCAGCCTCCTCAGGTCCATTCCCCTGTGAATCTGGACTTTGAATTCCAAAAAGCCACTTATCTGGGCTATTCATTTTTGGAAGTAGTGATTGTGGCTCACAGATGTTTCAGTTCATATTAAAATGGATTGCCCTATGTATAGGAGGGTATTTAATCATTTACTTGGTAACATTTATATAGCTTGATATCAAAACTTAATAATGTCACCAACCTAATAATACAATTGGTGCCATATAGGAATGCTTAGCTGAGAATAAGAGTTTAATTAACTTTAATTGGGAGCAATGGCTTACCATGTGGTCCTGCCTGTCTGAGGCA